GTTATGTTTATTGTCATGGAGAGACAGGGCTTTGATGTCACTGATAAATGAAATTACAGCTTGTCAGAATTCTAAGTCTAATTGGCTGACAGATGGCCAAACTTTTAACTTTGACATACAAGTTGCATGTCAAATCAAGAGTGCAGAAGAGGTGACAAACAGTTATCATCATATGCTTGGTTCCATTAAGATCTTTTGTCTTGCAGGTCATTGATGTGACCTTCAATATCAAGTTTACGGAAATCAATTCTGTACAGTATTTTTCATTATTGTTATGGAATGGGGAAACTTTGGTGATCTGACTCTTTGTGAGTTTATGTGTCTTTTCATTTTACTTTTGGTATTGCTTTGAATGTGGTAATACTAAAACTTCCAGAGAGTTGCTTCATGGAGAGAGGGACCTTTTGTACTTTGGTCTGTATACGTTGGGGAAGACTGTAAACCCCTTAACCCACACTGTGGAGCTGTTACTCACAGGATTCGTCCCATTGACTTCAGTACAAATTATTACTGGAGAAAGCATTCCCACATTCCTATGCTGAGAAGTGACTACTTGTCCTGGTGTCACACTCTGGAGGAGAAAGAATTCCACAACAGCAAGCACAATTCAGTGAGGTGCAACATGATCAGTTTAACATATGAAACATAAAATGTTTCTATGCATCGATTTCATTCCATTTTACAACAATCTTTTTAACTTTCTTGATTGATTGACCCTTCGAATTACAGCCCACATTTCTCTGAATGAAGTACCCATGTCATCAAATCAATATATAGTTTTATTCCTGCATTAAATACCTCCTTTAGAGTGCTATTGAATTCCCTGTAGAAATGAACAGAGTGACAGATTTAACTTCTATCTGGATAAGAAAAGTAATAAAAAAAACCCAACAATGAGGAATTCCAGATAGAATTCAGAATCCAGATAGGGATGTTATATTGTTTTAAAGGATGAGGCCAGGACTGTGTTAATTTGTCTGATACTTTCAGATCCAATCTGTAATACCAATTCTGTATGGGATATCCAAGAACATACTCACTGAGTTGTGCCATTTAGATATAGCTCTGCTTTCAGGGCAGTGCAAAATTTGTGACAATTTATCAAAAATATTATAAAAAAAATTAAATAACCATTTCAGTAATGGTTTCAAAAACACTTTCAATATGAATTTTTGTTTTAAAGTATTCATGAACAAATTTAACATCTGAGAACCTAAAATAAGTCAATTTTGACCACTGTAAAAGAAGAAACCATTATGTCAAAAATTTTCACTACATTCATTTTTCAGTTTTTTAACCAGCTCTACTTAAGAAGCCTTCTCAACACTAATGAATACAATTCTGTGATTCTGAAGATCAGGAATAGCAGTTTCAGATGATAGATGCTCATGCTAGCCTCATGGAATTCTTGTCAATAACGATTTGGCTCAAGCAACTATCTTCTTTCTGAGATACCTCTCCCCAAAGATGCTAAGTTGTGGAATTGGCTTAACATCAATAGTATTAAGATTTATATGCACATGCTGGCTGGCAAGCAATAAGGGTAATTTGACAAAATTGGTGTCTTTGTATATTAGCAAATAATATTGACTCGGTATACAGCAATATATTCCAAGTTATATTATGGCAGCCTATAAATCAGGAGATATAAGAAATAGAAAATCTGTATGTGCACTTATATTATCCCATCCAGGAGTCCAATATTTAGCTTTACAAAGGGTCTTTAGGAAGAAGGTATTCCCTTAACAGTGTTATGTCAGAGTAAACTTTTCACCTCCCATTCCTCAGACTTTGCTCAGCTAAGTTTTTTATTCAGGCAAGCTATAAGTTTAAACAATTGATTTCAGGGGCAAATAACCACTTGTGTGGCTGTGTAAGGGTTCAGGTGAGAGCTGGGCATTATGAGAAATGTCAAAGCTAGTGCTCAGTCATGCTTAGGTTGTGTGAGCAGTCCATGACTTGAACACTCGGTAAATCCAGGGTGTGGTCAGGGGATAGGTTCAATATTTTCAGAATTGTCCTGGGAAGCTCAAAGGCTGTCTCAAGGACTGAAAAGTTAGCGGAGTTGACAGGAAGATTCCAGGGGACCAGAGTTAAGAGGCTCAAGCTGGAATTTTTCATTGACTACGCTGCAGTTTGTGCACTTTAAAAATAGCCAACACGTAGAGAAAGAACCTCCCCATAGACAGAGATGGAGAAAATCCACGACAAAAGGAGATAGACAGGATTTACAAGTCTAAAGAAGGAAGGTGAAGATGAGTCACAGAAAGAGACTTGGAGGACATGGAAAGGGTAAGGACATATAGAGCTTCAGGGGAGGAGGTTACCGGAGAGTTGGGGGACAGCACTGGAGAGAATTTGCACTACAGCACATGGCCACTTTGGGGCTGCAAATCGAGAAAGATCACAGGAAGAAAAGACAGTAGGCAAAAAAGGCAGAGGCTCAGAAGATGAGGCATAATTACCTCTGAAAGCTTTAGGAGCTTTGTAGGATCTTCCTCAGCCTTCTGAGACACAGGTCATCCAGCAATGCAGACATGCTCCTGAAGCCATCCAGTCCCACTATGAAGAACTGAGGATTTTCAAAAGAAAATCCCTTGGGCACCCCAACTCTCACTGAAGGCTCTAGAGAAAGATCCAATGGTTATTTGTACCTTTTGAAAATATTGCCCATAATGTATTTCAAAAACATCCCTGGACCCAAAGGGGGTCGGAGGAAAACTACCAGGAAATTGTTTCTTAATACAATATGTAGTGGCTGAGACTACACCAGCCACTACACACCAGCCACTTGGTCACACCAAGGCCACGCTTGCAGTATTTCTTGCTCAAAGGTAAGATATCTTATTTTTACAAAACTTTCAGCCCCATTTTGTGGCCTCACAGGCTGTGTGTTCAGAAAACTTAGACTGTTTGAGTTTTTATCTGATCCAAACAAATCCCTGAATTTTATGAGATTTGCCCATCTCCACCTTACTTCTTTCCATGATAGCCAAATCCCACTGTTGCATATTAGATTTCAGCGTAAAACTGATGTAGTTGGTTCAAGCCTGCTTTTATGGCACTGTTTAACACTAAGTGCAAAACACAAACCTACACCCATTATTCTGCACTTTAGCAGATTTTCCTTTAGTGCACGAAAACTATCTTCACTCCTCCTCCCCCAACACACATGGTGGCACTATGAACTAACACAGTGTAGAAAGAAATCACAAAAGTGGGAAGATTTCTGCTAGCTTTGACTTCCTTGGACATTAAGGTCTCAGTTCTACAAATACTTTTGTATGAGTAGTCCCATCAACTTCAATGTGATTACTGATGTGCATAATGATAAGGTTATACATAAATATTTCTAGGATTTGGGCCTAATGGACTGTAATACTTTCATCTGATTTTGGTTGTTGCGTTTAGTGTACACATGTTGGTGGCTGTCAAGGTTCCTCCCCCACTCTGAACTCTAAGGTACAGATGTGGGGACCTGCATTAAAAACCTCCTAAACTTATCTTTACCAGCTTAGGTCAAAACTTCCCCAAGGTACAAAATATTCCACCCGTTGTCCTTGGACTGGCCGCTACCACCGCCAAACTAATACTGGTTACTAGGGAAGAGCTGTTTGGATGCGTCTTTCCCCCCAAAATACTTCCCAAAACCTTGCACCCCACTTCCTGGACAAGATTTGGTAAAAAGCCTCACCAATTTGCTTAGGTGACTACAGACCCAGACCCTTGGATCTTAAGAACAATGAACAATCCTCCCAACACTTGCACCCCCCCCCTTTCCTGGGAAATGTTGGATAAAAAGCCTCACCAATTTGCATAGGTGACCACAGACCCAAACCCTTGGATCTGAGAACAATGAAAAAGCATTCAGTTTCTTATACGAAGACCTTTAATAAAAATAGAAGTAAATAGAAATAAAGAAATTCCCCCTGTAAAATCAGGATGGTAGATATCTTACAGGGTAATTAGATTCAAAAACATAGAGAACCCCTCTAGGCAAAACCTTAAGTTACAAAAAAGATACACAGACAGAAATAGTTATTCTATTCAGCACAATTCTTTTCTCAGCCATTTAAAGAAATCATAATCTAACACATACCTAGCTAGATTACTTACTAAAAGTTCTAAGACTCCATTCCTGGTCTATCCCCGGCAGAAACCAGCATATAGACAGACACACAGACCCTTTGTTTCTCTCCCTCCTCCCAGCTTTTTAAAGTATCTTGTCTCCTCATTGGTCATTTTGGTCAGGTGCCAGCGAGGTTACCTTTAGCTTCTTAACCCTTTACAGGTGAGAGGAGCCTTCCCCTGGCCAGGAGGGATTTCAAAGGGTTTTACCCTTCCCTTTATAATTATGACAGTGGCCTGTGAAATATAGGAGGTCAGACTAGATGGTCTGATGGTGTCTTCTGGTCTTAAACTCTATGACGCTAAAGCAGTATCAAGTTGAAGCTAAAAACTGACCAAAGCACTCATACCACATGAAATTTTTGAGAATGCCAAATGTATTTGAAATGTATTTATTTATTTTGGTGCTGTAATGGTTATCCAAGCACTGAAATAGCATCTTTTGTTAAAGTTGAAATGATTTCAATTGATTTTTGCCAAGAGGTGGGAAATGATAAATAAAAGTAAAGATTTTTGTTTTTCTTAAATTCCAGAAATTTACTGAACAATAAAATGGGGGGGAGAGAGGGGAGGAAATGGTTACTTGTAAGCGTGAACTGTGAAGGAAAGTTGGCAGTTTTGTTAAAACTCCATCATCTTCAAGTGATGTTAATTATTGTAATTAATTTTGATATTTCCTATGTACAGCAGCTTTGATAAAAGGTTTCCAGCAATTGTTGAAGTGTTTATTTTTGAGACAGTGTCTATTTTGAGGCATGTAGTAGTTGATGGAATAAATTATTCCTTTATGGGAATGTTTCCAGATTTGAGGAGTTGTACTTCTTTCCATGAGAAATGTCCAGGGTAGCTTTTGAATTTTTTTGCTTGACCAGGGACTGTGAAGATGAGTTTCACATCCATGACCGGATATTGACTTAACATCTCAATTCTGAAGACCTGCATTGTGAAGAAGTTGGAATACTGTGGTATGTAAAGATATATATTAATTTATTCTGCTGAGGAAATATAAATGGTCTCACATCTCCAGTAGTGACTTTTCCATGTAGATGTTATATCACAAAACCAGCTGTCATTAATGACGTAATTGATCTATCCTTCTGGGAGAAGAAAGTGGCCTAAGTTTTCAAAAGTGATTAGTGATTTTGACTTGAGACAACTTTAAGGGGTCCTGGAAGTGGGTATTTAATTTCAATTAAGTCGTGTCCATTTGGGCACCCAAAATCACTAGTCACCTTTGAAAATTTGGGCCAAAATGCTGAACTGTTTAAAGATCTTTTATGTTTTGTTTGTGCAATGAAAACCCAGTATGCAATGTGTTTTGTTGTGCCTTCACTTATTTGGTCTCTATAATAGTGTCTTGCATTTTTTGTAGTATACTGAAATGCTATATTGTTTGAGTGCATGTTAGTGACAAATTTCAGAATTCTTTAATTTGGTGTGATTTCAGTGCATATGGTGGCAGTTCTTTTAACCCCTCCTAGCATCACATTCCAAAATACTACTGAACATTGAAACAAACTTTCTACAAACAGAAAGAATTTATGGGACAACAACAAGAAATAAGCCAGTAACAGAACAGGTCGAAAAATTATACATATTTTTTGCAGGAAAATCTTTTTCTTTTCTTTTTTTCCCCCCAATTTTTGGGAAACATTTCCTGTTTTTAACAATGAATAAATAATACCAGATTCTTCAGTTTTCACAAAAAGAAACATTACACAACAAACAAATGTTCAGTTAGACAAAAAATGGAGACACTGGTTGATGGATGAACCTCTTAAAGTTGAGCAATTTGATTTGGATAAGCACCCAGACACTTGAGCTATTCATCTGAACCTATGTAGCTCTTGAATCAGCAAAATCGAGCTTTAAATCTTGGAAGAAAAAGCTTTATCCTGAGGATTCTGGCTTTTCTTGTTGATGCTTGAGTTAGAACTACTATGGCAAGTGGCTCACACCATTCAAGATTTTATTTTTTTATATTACTCAGTTTTTTCCCAGACTCTAAAAATGGTTCAGTTCAGATTTGGTTTGAACTTTGGTTAAGCACTCAGATACAAGAGGCATTCAGTAAACACCACAGAGCAATACATAGATAGTTTGGGGCCAGTTCCTATTCTAACAAAACCATATTCACCCATAGCTGTTGGAATTGTATGTTATTTTCACAGGTTCTTGGAAACTTAAATGCAAAGCTTAATTCCATAAGCAATTCCATTCCATCATCACCCCCACCCTATCAGAGGGCTGTCATTATAGGGTTTTACATGACAACTGATTATCGTATTAACAAACAACAGAATTTATACCATATGTACGATTTCTAATCTGCAAAGCTCTTTACAAACATTAACTAATGAAGCCTCACAACAGCCATGTGAGTAAACTAAGTATTAATGCTGTTCCAGAGATGTGGGAATCGATACGGAGGTTTTCAGGGTGATTTTTCAATGATCGTTTTGGGACGCACAATAGGAAATGGACATGCCTAAAATGGGACGAATTTTCAAAGTGGTGAGTGGGCATTCCAAAAATTCGGAGAGTTTTGCCCCTGTTGTGGGCTGTTTCAGATGCCTGGGATCTTTGAATCTAGCTGAGCAGCTCTGCCTACCAGTTGCTCAATGCAAGAGCATTTCTGCCTTGCTCCAGCACCCTAAAATGGTGACCACCAGATGAGGGAGAGAACACACTGAGATCCCGGACACATCAGTGGTATCTCAAATGCTTCTACTGCTTGGATCAGCATGGGCAAGTCATCACCTCAAACACACTCGGCCTGCTTAGTACAGCTTCTGGAGATGGACGGCATCACAAGATCAGGTACTGCAGCAGCATATTTTTTAACCTAAATAGGTGCATTTCAAATAAAAATGCAAGACTATATCAGAAAATCTCTCTAGTCAGCATCATCTCAGGCCACTGAACACCATGCAAAAGCTTTAAAACAAACAAACAAACTCCAGCTTGTCAACAGAATTATTTCCTGCTGACCCGCTAAAGTATCTGTCCTGGCTACATTTGAAAAAATAGGAGTAAATAGCTTGTATTATTAATTTAAGTTGTATTAATCTGTCAGTGGTATCAGTTAATTCAGTCTTCTGGTACTAATAAGTTCATTAACAACAACACCACCTTCATTTTTAGCCCCCCCCTAGCAACATAGAATCACACCCTCATCTCCACTGCCAAGAACATATGTGTTGTTAGGTTTATTAATGTTACTGGAAGTAGAAAGGGACATGGAACAGCGTTCACATCACACTCCCAGTCAGTACCTGGCCCAGGCCAGGGAAGCTAGTGATCCAACCAGCGGAGCAAATTTGGTGATGAATCCTGGTCATGTGCCACCTAAGGCTTGTTGCGCCTACACTAAGAAGAAGAAGAAGGGAAGCAGTTTTGTTGGTCTCACTGCCTACAAAATTGGCCAGGCCAGGTCCACTGAGAAAATACAGCACGAGTGACTTGTTTAAATCTTTGTGGTTGTTTAAACCCAGCTTTCAAGTGACAAGCCACACAACTTAAAAATAAAATAAAATTACTATAACAACATATTAAGTCTTATGCTGTGTGTACACTACAGCTTATGTCGGCATAACTTATGTCGCTCAGGGGGTTGTATAAACCACTCCCCTGAGCACCATACATTACACTGACATCAGCGCCAGCGTGGACAGTGCTATGTTGGCAGGCGAGCTTCTCCCACTGACATAGCTACCGCCACTCACAGAGGTGGTTTTATTCTGCTGATGGGAGAGAGCTCTCCCGTCCACACAGAGCATCTTTACCAGATGCACTGCAGTGACACAGCTACATCAGTGCAGCTGTAGTGCTGTATGTGTAGACATGCTCTTCGTGTTCAAGAGAGCTCTTACTCCTCAAACCCAACCTTTTCAATCAAAACACCAAAAAGAGTAGCAAACTCCAATGGCATTGTCTTTTTGATACATAGGCCATTTAATTGTCTCTTACTGAGATAACATAGTCAGCCATACCTGCCTCAATTCCAAGCTACTGAAACAAACCACAGGGGAAGGTGTTTTTTCCATTCCCTGCCATACTTTGTATAGGAGCGTTATTGCCCTGTCGCACTCACCCTGGGAGCCATTAGAGGAAGGTTTTTCTGTGGCTGTTAATGGGGCCCAGACAGTTGTGCAAATTGTTTTCCTGGGCTTGGCCACACGACAGTTTGGCCTTTCCATGCAGTGTGACACACAGGGCTAAATTCCAAATATCATGTTTTAAATGCCAGAAACAGAGCTTTGCCAAATACAAATCCCTTTAACACAAATAATAATAATAAGCCAAATACAAATCCCTTTAACACAAACACCGGAGACCAGATTCTCAGTAGCTTCATGTCCTCCTCCTGCAGCTGGCACAAGAAAGTTATAGGGCAGGATAAAGGATCCTCCCTCTGGGTCATAGGTGCTGACTCCGTGAGTGCTCCAGAGCTGGCGCACTCAGGGAAAAAAAAATAGCGGGTGCTTAGCACCCATCGGCAGCCAGCTGCCCCCTTCCCCCAGTGCCTCCTGCCTCTGGGCAACCCCACTGATCAACTCCTCCCCCTCCCTCCCAGCACCTTCTGCACACTGCGGAACAGCTGTTCTGCAGTTGCAGGACACGCTGGGAGGGAGTGGGAGGAGCAGGGATGGGGTGGGAAGAGGCAGAGCGGGGGCGGGAAGAGGCGGGATGGGGGTGGGTGCTTGGAGTAAGGGGTGGAGTGGGGGCAGGCCCAGGGCAGAGAAGGGTAGAGCACCCTCTGGATAGAGAGGCTTTCGGTGAATACTGATGTGCCTGTGCCACCAGCACTGTGCTCCCTCCGAAGGAGTTGTCATGGCACAGGGGGAGTTCCAGGTTGTCATAGAGCAGATCGGGTCACGCTGGGTAGGGTCCCAATTTGGAGTGTGGCTGGGACTGCCAAGCACCCCAGTGATTCTGCACCAACAGTGCAAGCTGAGGCCTAGAGCTGCCAGGGTTGCTGAACCAAACCCCAACCCCTTCTCCACTCCATCCCTGCACTGGACCCATGTACCCCTAAGCCTAAATCAGGGAATCTTGCTGCAGTGGCCTACAAGTTGGCTGATTAGATGGATTGTGGTTCAGCTGTTCCCTGGACCCTTATGCGGTTAATTTAGTAAACGCGTATAGTATCCTTGAGAACCATCCTCTATGCCCCCAAAATTGGGAAAGAAACACACCAAAAACAGGTTTTTAGATCTCAGGTAAACATACAGATGTCTACATAAATCATGCTGCTTTCTCCTTCCTCGGGCCTCTAGTTTAAAAATGGACAGACAATTCTGAGGAAAGAAGTTTCAGTTTAGAGTGAATTTTTACTGGCATGTTATAAATCCCTGAAATTAAGAGTTTATAATGGAAATGCTGACACAACCTGAACTAGAGCGGCGTGAATAGCTTCACTGTAATAAATCAGTCACTTGTCTTATAAGTCTGTCACATGTTCTATAAATCAGAAACTTGGAATGTAAATCACATATTTAAAAGCACTTGTTCATAAATCAGCTATACAGATCAACACTAGGAATAATATTTTGGCAGTAAATCACTTTTTGCAAAAATGTTCTCCCATGTCAGTTCATTCCATTACTTAAAAATTACTTAAAGTTCTATTTTAGGGGCTCTATAAGTGAATCTTTAAAATGTGATTTTCCTAATACACCCTGTTTTAAACTATGAACAAAAATGATTTTTTCATAGTAGAAAGCAATTCTGAATGTTCATTATAAGCCTTGTGTTAGAACAATGGAAATCCTTTTAAAGACATTCCTCTTCTTATTATTATAATGTGTGTTATAGCCACTCCAATTGAGATCAGGAATCCCTAGTGCTAGGTGCTGTACAAAACACACCCTGAGACAGTCCCCACCCCAAAATGCTTACAAATGAATAGGCAAAAAAAAGGGGGGGGGGGTGTAGGGAAACAAAGGCATAGTGAGGCCAGGTGCTCAACCAATGTCACACAGGTAGTCAGAGGCTGAGCTAGAAATAGAACCCAGACCTCCTGATTCCTAGCCCACTGCTCAATCCACTAGACCACAGTATCTCTACACTATAGCTTACCAAAATTCATTAACAGCGCTCTGCAGTTTTACAGTCCATTTCATTCACAGACCTCAAAGCTCTTTACAAATATCAATAAATTAAGTTTCTTGACATCCTGTCTTGTAGATAAGAATTATCATCTCATTTTATGGAGAGGACGTTGAGGTTCAGAAAGATTATATGGACTATGGATAATTGAAATTGTGCATGATTAAGAATATTGTTGCCACATATTCTCCTCAAAGTTCTAGATTTTGAGGTCTCAGGTAAAGTAATAACTTGCAAATAGTATTCTGACTGGTAAATCTAAAATGATATTTTTAAACAACGTTTTAAAGCCAAAACTGGACATATAGGGGTACATGTTGGCATTCATAGCCCCAATTTTGCAGGACTTTTATTTGGACTATTTTCGGAGCTACTTTCACTCTGTTTTCCGGCATCAGATCTGGGTTTCCATCCTGCAGCTGGATACACATTGTCAGACCCTAGCATCCTCATAGAGCCCTATTTTCTTCAATGGGGTTCCATATAGGCATAGGGTTCTACCTGAGTATATCCAGGCCATAGTGTGAAACTAAATAGGAGCTGGATCCAAATGTAAAGTGAATGGAAAGACTTAAATGGGCTTTGGATCTGGCTCTAGGTGTAGCACAAACTTTATAGATGGGGAGGAGCTCCAAAGCCACAACCAATATGATTTTTATTATTATTATTATTATAGATAGCACAGGTAGCAATGGCTACAGTTAAGGTAGCCCAACACTTCCCATTATAAAATCCTGTTGCCAATTGCTTATAATTTTACCCAATTTTAACTTTTACACAGAAACTTAATTCTGGCATTTCCTAACTTAATATTTTTAACATAGTTTATCTCTGCATAATTAATTCATTATTTGCAAAACAACCAGACTAAAAAAACAGTTTTGTACAACAAGGTCAACAATGAAAAAACAAACTCTAAGTATAGTTATTTAACTTTTTAAATTTTTGGACCATTAGAAAATCTCAGTAAAGGTGCCACATTTGGAAGAAGCATGAAAAATATTAATGTTGTTTTGGCTTCCTAGATATTGCACTTGTACTTGGGTAAGTTCTAAGCCATTGATTTTTAAAGCACAACTCCCCAGATCAATGGCACAATATGGCCCTATGTGTTTACCAGCAGATATGGTTTTCAGCTACGTGCCAGAATTTTTGCTGTTAGCGGAAGAAAACACAGAGTAAGCACAAGAAGCATCCTGGGTTATTTTTCTAGTTTGCCAATGCAGATCTGCTTGTGTGTGTGTTTAACTGCAGACTCCTTTGAAAATGAATTTGGACCCTGTGACCTTTTTCAGTGCTATGTGAATGCGAATGCTGCTCTCTGCAGGCCCCGCTCCTTCCTAATATAAATGTTTAATGTGAAACACAACTCTAAGTAAAAGCTATTTATCTTTTCTTTAATTTCCTTCAGTGCAATTAGAATCTGAAGTGCTCACACTTGTTAGAATGGGCTGAATCTGCAGCCTGTGTTTACAGAACAATAGAAACTCAGGGAGAGATGATCAGCATTCACTCTTAATTTCTGCCCCCTCCTCTCCTGCAGTATACAAACAGATAGGGGGAACAAACATATGTGAGGTGATAACTATCAGAAGGGTAGCTGTTTTAGTCTGGATCTGTAAAAGTGGCAGAGTCCTGAGGCACCTTATAGACTAACAGACGTATTGGAGCATAAGCATGCATCCGACGAAGTGGGTATTCACCCACGAAAGCTTATGCTCCAATATGTCTTTTAGTCTATAAGGTGCCACAGGACTCTTTGCCGCATGTCAGGTGATGTTACTACGTATCAAGCAAGTAATTGCTGAAAAGATATAGGTTCTAAAACAAGTCACAAGTCTCTTTTCTTATGAGCCTTCTTTGTTTTTAAAGGTCTTTGTGTCAGTTCAAGGCCTGTGGGCAAAACAGTGGGCCAGATTCTGATGTCAATTCCATTGCTATAATTCTTTCAAATCAGTGGCATTACTGATTAATGTTTTTTGTTTTTCCTCAATCCTACTTACTCCTAAAGACTGCTGCAGGTTCAAGAGAAGGGACTTTCTCATGGAATATCTGTGGTTTCTAAAGGGAGGTACACAGTGTTATTAATATATGAAGTATTACTGAAGTAGAAGAAATTCCTTTATACTCTAAAAATAATGCTATTGGGTAACTTAACCTCACATAATGACAGGTTTCAGAGTAACAGCTGTGTTAGTCTGTATTCACAAAAAGAAAAGGAGTACTAGT